CACACACACACACATTAACACAGATGGTCAGCTTTGTCAATATAAACCTTTTTAAACAGAGAGCGAAAATAAAGCGAGACGCCTGCCATCTCCAGCACGATCAACACTCACACATACCAAGAAGCTTATCTGTCCTCTGTGCTCCTCCTCCCATTCACCGCCGCTCAGGTGTGACACCGCCGTGTGTGTGTGTGTGTGTGTGTGTGAGACCGATTTTAAAAGTCAGCAAACCTCTGAGCCAACTGGGTCTTTCTCCTCTTCACACTTTGTGGCCCACATGGAGAGGATGTGGTTACACCTAATCGGCCGAGTGAAGGCAGGCAGACACTGTGTGGCTTCAGTCCCACTTTAACCCTGAACTTACTCTTTTTAGAAGTTACTACTATTAGAGTCGTCGTTTGATGTTCGGTTTGAAGTCGCTGCAGCCGACTGATCAGCTGAACAATCTGTTCTAACTTTACTGTATGATTGTGATATTATAACCGATAACTGTGGACAGACTGGTAAAGCCAGCACCATGAGCCACAAACCAAACAGTTCAGTGTTCATGAGTGTTTAGTGTCCCTGGAAACTTCCAAAGCTCCATTTTAATGTGCAACTTGCAGCGGTTTCTGTATTTGGAAAGCACAACAAGAAATATAACCTCAAGCAGCCACAGACTGTTTTGTGGTGACTATATAAATAATTTCTGATTTGTGTTACGCCACACCAAGTTTTTTTGGCATTCGTGGCCCCATAGAGTTCAATTTACATGAACTGTTAACTTAATGTCTACGTATCCGAGCCACGCCCCCCCTGAAGCTAGTTTGTCAATATCTTGAAAACTAAACACGATGACACGCTTTCTGCAACTTCAGATCGGCTTCACCCGATGATGATCCACACACCATTTGGTAACCTATGGTTCAAAGGGAAACTGTAAACTTTAAACACTTTGTAGAGCACACTGAGCCTTTAATTACAGCGCCACCACGAATGTCTGTCTGACTAATGTGTTCGTTGTAGCGCTGCTGGAGGAGGTGAGGAGCAGACTGGAAGCAGGTGGGGGAGGTTATGGGAGGAGGGCAGAGTGAGCAGACAGGTTGTCTACATGCTGGCTCCTGCTTCCTGTCTGCGTACATGAGTACAGTAAACAGCCTGTATTATGGTTCAGGTAGCGTGCAGCTAACGATAGCTTGTTTACCTTGACTCGCCTTCAGACTGGCAGGCGCATCTCGTCCTCCTCTGTCTCTCATAAACACACCTCGCGCTCTTACAGAGAGAGGGCTGAAAGGTACACAAAGTCTCCATTGTGTGAGGAGAAATGTGAGGGAGGACCAGTGCGGAGGTCTCAAGGCAACATGCAGCCGGAGCACAAACAATCAGTCAGTCAGTGGAAAGAGTGTGTGTGTGTG